AAGCATTGGAAACAAAGCAAATCTAACATCCAACAGGACAAACATTAAGTCCTAGAGTTTTATGTTCAGCATCTGAAGCAATATGATTGTAAGCTCCAAAAGGCTTGGGTGATTCCACCCCCACAGCATTTATAGGGATTTCAGCGCCCTCAGCTTTTTCTTAAATTGTCTCTGCTCGCTTTTTGCAGCTTTCCTTGTATCATCCACATTTTTGGCTTTTTTAAACTTTTGGGGTCTCTACTGCACTTTTGGCTTTACTCTTTTATCTTTACAAATTGCCCTCTCAGGCCCTTTGCAATCAAGGTGGAAGCCATCTTACCCTCAGAATTTGTGCAATTTTTTGCAGCTAAAATTAGCATGATGTGGATGCTGCCAAGGTTTGCTGCTAGCTGGAGCAGCAGTCAGGCTTTTCTCTCTTGGCTGTAGGGGTCGATTGCCTGGATCATTGGGCTTTGTGAACCTGATTGTGAAGAAAAGCTTCTCTATGTTGCTGCCATTTTGGAACTTCCTGTTGCCTCAGTCGCCATTCTGGAGCATGGTGTACTGCAGCTTTCTCCTCTGAGCAAATTTTTTGACGGCTGCAAAGGGACAGGCTGCTTGGGATGCCCCAGGGCCATCTTTCTTATCTTTTTTGTTTCTCCTCAGCAATCAAAGTCTCAACTCTGTCTTAACAATCTACAACATTCCTGGAATTTTCCTTCTGGCCAAACTCACAGTATTGCAAATTATCCTGCTGGACTCTTTGCTCTTGATTTGCAACATAAAGCTGGCTAAAAGCCCCAACAAAAGCTATGCCACATCCTCAACATTTGAGTGCTTTGAAATTTGCTTTTTTAGATCAATCAGTCTATTGCCCTTTTTTCAGTCTCAGGCAAAATCTCTGGGCATGAGCAAAATGCAGACAAACTTTCTGCCAAGCTATAACACACATCATGGGGAGTCCAACAACCAATGCAGTCCTTCTTCCCAGAAGAAACCTCCCAATCCTGGTCTTTAGCATCAGGCTTTCTATCAGTCTTCTGGTCTCCTGAACTCTGACCAGAATCTCTACAAAACAGCCTATGCTGCTCCAGCTCTATACATCCAGGTGACATGTCTGAACCTTTCCAAGCTCTGCCCACAAGCCATTTCCAAAGCTTCTCGAAAAACATGATCAGGTATAGTCACAGCAAACGACCCCATTCTCGGTACCAAATTCTGTCTTAGTTACTTTTTACTTGTCGCTGAGACAAAATACCTGAAGCCCAAAGTTGGGAAAGGAAAGGTTTATTTCTTACAGTTTTTGGAGGTTTTAGTCCATACTCAGCTGGCTCCAAGCCAGGATGACATGGCAGAGTCACAGTTCATGACAGCTGCAAACAGCAAAGCAGAAATCGGCAAAAGAGAGTGAGACATACCTTCTTCCTGCCATTACATTACATCCTGGCTCCAGTATCCCTAGGCCAGTATAGCACTCACACCCCCAATCCAAGCACTAGACAATAAGCCAATTACACATGTACAATGCAAATGCATGAGGCCTGGAGGCCACCAACATAAACCATGACAAACAGCAAAATGTTTTCCCACTCTGTGGGTTGTCTCCTCACTCTATTGATGGTTTCTTTTACTATACAATCCCAGTTATTAATTCTTGTTAATGTTTCCTGTGAAGTCAAGAGTTTTGTTCATAGTCTTTGCCTATACCTGTATCTTCAAAAGTTTTACGCATTTTGTCTTTTAGCCAAGTATATTTAGATCTTTGATCCATTTCACTTTTAGTTTGGTGCATGGTGAGAGATAGGCATCTAGATATCATCTTCAACATGTAGAAAGCCAGTTTTTCCAGCACCATTTATTTAAGAGGCTTTCTTTCAGAGAAGTAGTTTGTCCCCTTTGTCAAAGACAAAGTAGCTGAGTGTGTTTCATTATTTCTGTATCTTCTGCTCTGTTTCAGAATGGCTATCATTAAAAAGTGGACCAGTAATAAATGCTGACAAAGATGTGAGGAAAATGAAAACCCACGCTTGGTGGGAATGTAAACTGGTACAATCAGTATGGAGATTCTTCAAGAAACTAAAACTAGAGGTTCCATTTGAACCAGTTCTTCCCCTCCTTGGTAACTTCCCCTCAAAGTTAAAAAACATCATGCTACAGTATTATATGCACACTCATGTTTTTAGCAGCACAATTTATAGTAACTAAATCTGAGAAACAACTCAAATGCCCATCAGTGGATGAATTGATAAAGGAAATGTGGTTCTTATATGGAACAGAGGAATTTGTACCTAAAAAGTAATATATCTTAACTCTTTTCTTCCCATTTGAACATTTTTTTCCTACTTCCTAATATCTATCATCCATTTTGGTCCTTATTTATGCTTTTTGATTCTCATATAACAGAACACTGATGAAACAACATACTATTGGAAGTACAAATGGGAAGGGAAACAAGGGAGAGGGGAGGGAAAAGTGAAGAAGAGGAAAAGGAAAACATAGAAAATAAAAGGAGGAGTTAAAAGGTGAGGAGCAAAATGGGAACAAGAAAAGAATTAAGAGATACTATTTTTAGGTGCAAATTCCTTATATATATATTCCATATAAATAGTATGTTGTACAAATTCCTTCTGATTAATAGGATAAATATGTAAGACAAATACATACTAATGAAAACTAAAGTTAAAAAATTAAGAATTTTATTTCATCAAGGACATGAGGACAAGTGAACAAAAAAGGAAAATATCTAACCAGCAACAACAAATAATTAAATTAAATAAAAATGCCTACGTGTGCATAAGAAAAATCATACAGTCCATTTAGAAGTAAATTGACTAAAGACACAAATATGAGATCTGATCAGTATAGTCAGTAAATGTTTATATTCTTGAAAAATTATCACAGTGAAAAGCACATTGTAATTAATCACTCTTAAATGTATCCCCCAATATACCTTACCCTATTATTCTTGCCATTTTCCAAAGCATTTCTAGGATTTTCTGTATCTTTAAGAGATGTGATAAAAAGTTCAGTGAATATTTCTGCCAGTTGACATCCAACGGAAAGGTAAGATGGGAAGACATTAGAGTGTGTCCTCATCCTCTTGATTCAAAACATCTGGTACCAGGTGATTCTAACTCTTCAAAGTCAAAGTATCCATGAAAGATAAACATGAATCCAATCAGGATATTAAGGTGGCTGTAACAGTGCAACTGAAGACATGCACAAAAAAAGTATTTCCAAACTGCTTTACAACGTGGCAGCAATGATAGGATCATTATGTTTGAGGTGAGGGAGTATTTTGAGGAAGAATAATGACAAACATGTCTTATACTGGAATAAATCCTTTTGTGAATTGAAATATTCACTGTATTCTTAATCATACCTCACATATCCTTCATAAAAAGAGAAACTACCAATACCAGAAAGAAGTTGCCTGAGGGAAAAACAAAGCTGTCTGAATAAATCAAATAATAGTTTATCCAGTCATGTTACATCAGTACAAATGGAACCAAGTAATCGTTTATAATTATAGCAGCAAATAATAATTCGTGAGAGGTAATTTATAAGAAATTTAGCTGGGATTTAGCTCAGTGGTGTAAGCGCCTGCCTGGCAAGTGCAAGGTCGAGAGTTCAATCCCCAGTACCACACACACAAAAGAATAGAAATTTATTTCTCACATTTTTAGAGACTTCTCTAAAATCAAGGTCCCATCAGGCTCAGAATCTTGTTAGGACCCAGCCTTTGCTCCCAAGATAGCATCTTGAACATTACCTCCTTGGAGGGTATAAACACTGTGTCTTTACATGGCAGAAGAGTATAAGATAAAAAGAGGTGGATTCTTTTCCTTTTATATAGGTTAAATTTTGCATTCCTGAGGGCTTGCCCTTGTGACTTGCCCTTTAAAAGCCTCATTTCAGACATTTGTTTTAACATGAATTTTGGAGCACACAAACATTAAAAACATAGCAAAAGGTTTTTCTGTACTCTCAAGGTTCTTTGCTTCATTTAGATAAGTTTTATATTTCATGTAATGCACATCTATTTCTTAAACCCAAGACCCATTCAAATATTAATAGTTGACCTAATTGAAATTAAAAATAAGAGAAATATACCATATAGATTCTTATTTCACATCACCAGACTGACACCAGTTCTAGTTTGAAGATAATATTCTCATAGCTTTGGTTAAAAACTATATACCCTACAGGAAGGGGTAGAAGAGATGGAAGAGAAAAGAAGATGGCTGTGGTTAACATTTATAAATTTTCTGTTAGACATTGTGACAAATGCTTTGAGTGGATTACCTCATTTAATCCTTACAACTTCACAAATGTTAAAATTGTAAGTTAAGAAATAGAATTTCTGCTCCCATACCTTGTGCAACTCACCTCTGAGCAGCCTCTTTCTTAACCACTCCATTTGGGAGGAGAAAGGAGTTTATCATATTTCCTAGCTATGCAGCTAATCTCATAATTATCCCCAAGGGATTTTTGTTTTGTTTTGTTTTGTTTTTTTGTTTCTGCGCTGTTTACCTCTTGAGATTCCTTTGGCTTTGGCCAGATCTTGTCTTTGAAGTATAGGAAGGGACCATGCACCGTACAAGGATGGAGTAGGACATTCATTTACTGTTGCCTTTTCACTATGGGCAGATACACATATTATAATCATGCAACCTTGTGACAATAACCTTGTTTGCCTTGTGGGTGTGGAATAAATGAAGATTGTGTAATCCTGGAATTGGTACAAGTAACAATTAGTACTGGTTAAATGGATGCTGGAATACTTAATGTGTTTAGATATATTTTACCGCTTATTATGTTACAATACTAGAGAATATAATGAAACTTTTGGATTTTATATATATATTTTCAGTTTCTCCTCACTTTGAAAAGTAGCATTATATCACTTTGAATATGTCAGAGAAACATGTTTCTCAAACATTTTCAGTTTTACAAAGTATAAAATGATTCTCAAGGAAACCAATATTACACTAAGAAAAACTTTTTCTTCTTTTTTGCAGAATTTGAATAATGAGATGAGTACAGATGATGATAATGAATATGCAGAGGAAAAGGATAGCTACATATGTGCAGTATGTCTGGATGTTTATTTCAACCCATACATGTGTTACCCTTGTCACCACATCTTTTGTGAGCCCTGCTTACGGACCTTGGCCAAAGACAATCCTGCAAAAACTCCCTGCCCATTGTGTCGGACAATTATTTCTAGAGTCTTTTTCCAGACAGGTAACTTCCTTTTCGTTAACTTGATTATCTGTTTTTTCTGAATATTTCTTTATTCTTTATTCTAGAATATTTATTTTACAAATTAGTACAAAAAAGTTTTTAAAACCATATGAAACATAATTTGTTATAGTCCAGCTTAGAAAGCAGTGTTATTAATACAACTCATAGATTCTGTTAGATTTAGAAGTGAGAGTAAATCTTTATCTTGAATCCTTGCTGAGGAGGGAAAAATGAATTTTTTTCTAATACCAGATCTCTAGCAAGGTGCTTTAGGATAAATGACACTTCAGTGTTATCTTACCAGCTATTCAAAAAAGCATTTATTGAAGTCTTGGTGGTTTTTTTTAATTATTATTATTATTGCCTTTCTAGAGTAGTTTTACTTTTTTCTTATTAAATATTTTACTCCTATTTTTATTATCATATGTTTGCAGTACATAATAAATATTTTCATCATGAGGAACTGGTACATATGCTTGAAAGCAGCCAGTGGTGTGCAGAGATAGTGTCTGTCTCTCTTATAGAATCTCACTTAGCACTGCAAGGGATTATAATATTTCTTTTTCTTTGAGTTTAGTAATGACTAAATCTTTCCTGGTTTATTTATCAAAATGATTTTATATTTTTCTTTTTTTTTCAGAATAGTACTTCTAAAATCATACTATGAATATTTCTAGTCCTTTCAATGGAGAATGTCTTTTGGTGCATATTCTCACAATATGCAGATACAATCATGGGAATATCCTACTTAATTATTTATATCCTACTGCAAAAGAATTTGACATTATTTTCAAAATACAGTAGTAAGATTGTGAGACAAGGGAATTATAAATTGGAATGGAAAATAAATTTCAGGTGAGGTTAGGTAGACACATACATGATGCATGTTTCCCTATATAACTACAATTAGATAAGATTTGTGTTCAAAACTACCTAAGCCAAAATAAAAGTAACTATACAATTAAATGATTTTCATAATCCACTAAAAGAAATATACCATTCCCTTAAGCTGCAAATGATTTTCTGATACTTCTTAAAAGGAATGTTTTTTGTGATTTTTCCCTTAAGGCATATTGAGAGATAGAATATACAGTATAGTGTCATCAAAGACATCCTCAGAGCAAATGTAATGTAGGCTTTCTGACACTGTTTGTTACCGTCTTCTTGGATAAAAACTGAGGAAATGTCAGAGTATAAATAGGAAAAGCAACATTACTATTATCCAAAATAAAACAATTTTCTTATAAAAATAACTTTTAAAACTATATTACATAAATGAATTAGAAGTTTAAAATCACTCATGCTTTTAAATATTTAATGAGTTTCCTTCCACAGCATTTTATATACAAGTTAAATGTTTATTGTTACCCAAAAAAATCTGCTTATACTTACTTCATTTACCTTAAAGTTCATGTGATTATATTATGTCTTATTTAGCCAATCTACTATTATGGGATATTTATTTATCATAAGTTTATTTACCAATATATACGGGTAAATATTTGAACATAATCGTAGTACTTCCTTGAATTAATTTCCCGAAGTAGAAAGGTAGTCTGTATATTTTTAAGAATATCTACAAGATGTGAAAACAAACTGCAATAAATGTTTAAATTTTTTAGAACTACATTAGAAGACACATTGCCATTAAATTCCCTCAAAATAGCCCATCTTTGCTTTGAATATTTGTCATATTGTTCTTGGCAGTTTTTAAAGCAGTTCCAGAAGTCTTTTTTTTGTAAATATCTGCAGTTGTGCTGTCATAATTGTCTTAGTGTCCTGAATGAATTGAAATGATTCCCTTTGATGGTCATTTTGATTTGGGGGAAGAACTGAAATCAATGGTACTAGAAAACAGTGAATAAAGTGGATGAGAACATAGTGTAATTTTTTCACATTTTACTATATAGCACTTCACAGCAACATTAACTGTATTTTTATTATACCTCCTAAAGATACAAAAAGTACTTCCAGAATTTCTTCAGAAAGCAGAAAGAACAATGGGTTAAGAATGTTTAAAGGTGTGGGATCTATCTTGACGGGAGTTAATGGCAACACCTCTTTTACTGGAATACATTTTTTTTAAATTTCAACATATATTGTAGTTTTTGGTCAACGCTTCTATACTGCAAAATGACACTTGTGAATTATTGTAAGCAGTGACATATAAAGGCTTGTTTTCTCCACTTTCTTGGCCATCCCAGTTTTCCTTTTTAAGTCCTTCACTATGAGAAGTTTTTTATATTTAGTTTCAACTCTTCTCATATATGGAAAACAATGTTCCCTTTCTGTTATTCATGCCATAAATTTACTTAGGGTATTTTATAAGTGTACAAAACTTCTGTATTTTTATGAAGTCTCCATAGTGATTTTCTCATTAATTACAAGTTAAGTATTAAAAGGTCTTACCCACTACAGAACTGTATATTCTTTTTACCTGTATTTATTTCATAGATATATTTTATATATTGTCCTCATTTGCCCACATTTAACTCTACTCTTACTTGTTGTGATACATGGTTAGTTCAAGAATAAAATACTTTTTATTCCATTCCTTGGGACTGAATCCCAGCAACATTCATTTACAAATCTATTTTTTTCTATGCCAGTCCAATTTTCTTCCTTTAAAAGCAATAATAATAGTTATTAAAATCTATGTTTCTTGGCAAATGTTCCTTTTTATTCATCCGTCTTAACATCATTTCTTCATTTATAATTTTGTTGGTATTTATGTTTTAATAACTCACAAATGAACTAAACTTAAGTTAATTTGAGGATAATTACCATTATAATATTGAGTTAACAATATATTATATTGTTTCTCAGTAAACTTCTATAATTTCCATCTTAAAAGCTCTACACATTTATTGTTAGCTTTATGGCTGTATTGTTTTATAAATAAGGTTTTTTTCCCCCCTCTCTTCTGACTTCTGCTGCTTTTGGGAAACTTTGTTTTCCAATCTTAGATTCTTCTGCTACAATTCACAGTACTAAACATTGAAAATTATTTATGAAATGAATTGAAATGTCATGAATGTCATGAATTGAATGAATGAATGTCAGCATTTCAGTTGCATGCAAACCAGGGATTTGTCAAAGGTTAAAGTGGGGAAACTGTCATTTTTTCAAGGAACCCAAGATATTTCTACAATGAAAAAAAAAATGTCCATTGTAACATTATTATAGTAGCTTAATGGGTAGAAATACAATGAAAGTCACCCCAGGTTTATTCCATATTGTGGTCTATATAGAAAAATAATGACTTTAAACCTAAACTATAACACTGACTATTTATGTGATTTTGCTTGAGTTTTTTAATACTATTAGTTGTTATCTTGATATAATAATTAACACGTTAAAACTTGAAGTGGATTAAGAAAAGTAGAATAGATAGAGGCACTAATTCATTCTCTCTCTCTCTCTCTCTCTCTCTCTCTCTCTCTCTCTGAGACAAGGTCTCACTATGCAGTTCAGGCTGACTTTGGACTCACTTTGTAGCCTGGGCTGGTCTCAAACTTGCAACCATCCTCATGCCTCAGGCTCCTGAGTGCTAGGATTACAGGAGTGTACCACCATGCCTGGCCTTTTTTTTATTTTTTTAAATAATAGATTTTAAGATGTACTGTTGAAAGTTCACAGACAGAAAATCAAATGTATAGTGGGTACTTGTGGTTGCTAATTAGCATCCATAACCTTGTTTCTTTCTTTCTAACATAACCCTGAATATTTTACACTCCCAAAATAGACCAGGTATTTCTGGACCCCAACTTTTCTTTGGTAAGCTGTCTTTTTCCAGCGATTGGTTCACAAATGGGTATGTGGTCAAATTCCAGAGAGTTAGATGAAAAGAAAGTTTATCTTTGTCTTTTAAGACATGCAGTGGGAAAGCCATTTTTTCCCTTTGCATGTGAATAAGAAAATTGTTTAACAGGCTTATTTGCCAGGAGACATGTTAGGATCAAGTGAAGAACCAGCCTAATTGTTACTGCCTTGACCTGGAGACCCTCAAGAGACTATTTGATATCTAGCTCCAGTCGTCCTGTGCAGCATTAAAATCTCCATCTTTCATCGAGCAACAGTCCTGGCTCATTAGGCTAGTCTTCCTCCTGGCTCTCAGCACTGGTGAAGGGTCTGTCTGTTTAACCTGATTCCTGCTTTCCCTGGCGCTGTAAGAATCTCCCCATAGCAGTCCAAGGCCCTTGGTGCCCCAGGCCAGTGAGCACCTCCATCTGGTATGTTGAGCTGCTTCTTTGATACTGGATATACATCAGATACTCAGTTTTGGTCTCCAACCAAAAGTTAAAATCCATGCTTTAAAGAAAATAATATCAAGAAAATGTAAAGACCACCAAAAGTGAAAGAAAATATTTGTAAGAGGACTTAGGGAATGTGGCAGAGTGATAAGCAGCAACAAATCAGCTTCTCCAAGATTTGGAACCCAGACACTAGGAAATAACAACTTGGGGAAGAAAAGGAGGAAGATGGGTCCCTGGGACTCAGGAAGAATCTGATGGGAAAATTGGAGCCTACCTTACAGAGAAATTGAAGAGACAGCCCTCAATACCAAAAAAGGAAGGGGCAATCTATGCTTTCTCCCAGGCTTCTGGTTCATGAGAAAGGAAGATTAAATCTACAGAGATACAGTGAAAGCAGGCAACTAGAGAGGCCTTTAGGGAGAAATGTGCCAATGGAACAGAGCAGTGAATGCTACGAACTACAATAGCTGGTGAGTGACTCCAGCCCACAAAAGTCAGCCAAATCCCTTGGAGGACGTATTTGGTCAGATGCCATTTTAGGGAGGGACCAACTGAACCTAAGACTCAGCGCAGCCAAGGTTTGGCTTCATCTCAGGATTCCAAGTGTTACAACTCGCACAGTAGGTGAGAGACAATAACTGGATACACCTATGGTCAGGAAGCTGTGGTGAATCACCAAGAGACACCTAGAATGTAACTAAAACAACTCACACCCAATTCCCATGACCAAAGGTCAGGTTCAAC